ATTTTGACACCAATGACATTAATGAAATTTTAAAATTCAAAATTTTACTAATGTTTGTTTTTTTCAAAATTCATATCGACGATTTTTTGTATTTTCTGCGTTATTCCTTTAATTTTCGATTTTTCGTTTGCATTTATATAAAAAATAATTCTTTTCAGAATTATTTAGAGACGTTTTAGTGTTATTAAGATAAAAATATGGATTCAATGCTAACTACTAGTGGTAATTATTCTTCCCCACCTAAAAAACGCTGAGTAGATTTGGGTCATTTATCATCAAATGAAAAACAATGCATTATAATCATGTACAAACAAATAAAAATTGATAATCCTGGAATGAAAATAACAGCCATGGTAGCAAAAATAAAACAAGCAACGGGTTAGTTTTGCAGAACAGTTAGTGTTAAAATCAATACTTACTAAAGTAATGTGCTAATTGTTTTAAGTGTTGCGAATTCAACTATTTACAAAACAATTAAGCATAAGCAGACTGGAACAGTAAGAGGTCCTAAAAATATTGGCGGTCGACCATTTGCAACATACGATGAAAGAGTTACAACATCTGTACGACAGATAGTATACAGTTCTTTTCCAAGAATGAAATGCTCACTTTAAATAAAATTTTAAGTGAAATTATGATTGAAATTATGATTGTAATAGCACCCTTCTTGTTTAATCAAAATATTTTTCCTATTCATAAACATAAGTACAAGGCTTTGTGTGACAGGTTTTTGGAAACATACTATTGTACAAATATTTTTAATTTAAGTATCATGTAATTACATTTCACTGTTCACATATAAAGATATTATATTTGGTATGTTTGATGATAAGTATATTAAATAATGATCTCATAGTGTAACTTACTAAAAAAAAAAATTTTAAGTTTTTAATTGTATACTCTACTGGAATGTTGTCAAGTATTTTGGTTCAACAGATACAAGAACATGAAAAGGAAAGAAAAGGAAAAAAGAGAATATTTTTTTTCTTCACATTGAGATATATTGCAGATACATTGCTGCAAATATTTCATAGCATAACTATAGATTGTTTATTTTACTGATTATAGGATGATTGTTTTATTGTCTATATTATGAATGTCTTGCCATAGTTATTTTTTAGGTGAAATTATTCAAAGAATAGTTTATACATTGGACTGCTCACCAAAAACAAAACCTTCTTTCTCAAATATCTGAAACAGATTCAGTTTTTGCAGAAAAACTAAATGAAGAAATTCAAAATGGTGTAGTAGTTCTTGAACCTCACCAAGACATAAATGGAGAAGATATTTTGGAAGACTAATAAAATTATTCGATTTTTATTTTTACATATATCCCGAATAAGTATTATGCACTGAATATTATTTTCGTCTAATATCTAAATCGATGTCTGTCTCTTTAAGTTGTTTATAATAACTTGGACTTGATATGCGAATAGTATTTAATGTGATATTTTTCTAGATGGTATTTATATTAAGGTATATTTTAAAAGGTTTATAAATTTATAAACGTATGTTATTTATATCTTATTATCATAAGAAAAACGGCAATTATAGTAAGAATATTATAGTCTACGCAGTTTAAAAGAACAGTATTTTAGAAATCTATGAACTCTCTTTTTTTGAATTTTTTGATACATGCTTGAGTAAATGGAAAACAAAATAGAGACGAATTTTTAACTTGAGAGCAGATAGAAGTGTAATTTTTACAGATGCAAACCTACAAGAAACTCTTGTCTTTTAATGAACCAAGCCATTTCATGCTTTGTTGAATATAAGATCTATTTGTAAATTAAAAGACATATTTCTGTAAAAACTCTCTCTCGGATTAAAATATTCTATAAAAAATGTATTTCTGATTAAAGTACCCAATTTGATTTATTCAAAAAACAGTTAAATTAGTAATTTAGTTTAATTTAAATAATTTCTTGCAAAAGTATTAATAATCGAACTACTACCGAGTATACCGAAGTGTTTCTACACCTAAGTTCATATTCACATGTGCCTCTCTTTTTAGTCGTTTATTTACTAACTTTTCCTCAATAATCCCTTCTAAATTTTAGTGGCAACCTAGTTGCTCGCTTGTTTAACTTCTTTAAATAACTTAGCAAAAACACACCGTCTTAGGGGAAGTAACTCAATTTTGTTGGAGCGCAAAACATGTTGCTGGTGGTTCCGAACTTTCAAACAATGTTGCCGTCAATATTAGTAGGGTGATTTGAAATTACATAAAGCAAAAGTGATGCTATAAATATACAATCAACCCTTTTAACAAATAGCGAATACTTTATATGGAATAACATCATGTTAGTCTTCGGAAACTGTATCTTGTTATACATATATTAGAAAATATCAGACCAATAAAAAATATTCCGTATATGTATGTAAATGTATGCATGTATGTATATATTAATGCATGTACATATATAAAGTACGTATTTGTATATTTGCGGATACATATAAGGATGTTCTTAAATCCGACACAGCATGTCCCAATAGCTGATAGGAGCGACCTTCTAAAAATATTCAAAAAATTATATCAGCCCTATGTGAATAAGATAAAAGCAAATAAAAACCTGTTGACCAATTGAGAACATGGATGGGGAGACAGCTATGTCATTACTGTAGATTTGTCAATTGAACATGATACAGACCCACATACCATGTGGTCCATATGTATAGAATAATTTCATTTTTAGCGTTATTATATACTATGTGAAAAAAACCTGAAACAGGTCGATTTTTATTCTTAAATTGATAATTTTTTTTTGTCTCTTCCCATAAGAACTAGATCATCTACATATGCAACTATTTGGGTTGAGGGGTGGGCTATAGTTCCTTTAATTTTGCTGACCTTGACTGTTCCTTCTACTGCTATGTTGAATATTGTGGTTGACATTCGCCTTGTCGCACTCCTGTTTCTATTGTAATTGATTTTTTGCTACCTTCTTCTATTGATTTTGTGCTACATTCTTCTGTTGTTAGTTTAGCTCAAGCTCCATCCGTGGTCATTTTTGTTAATCTGAATAATTTTGCTGGTATATCTTGATTTTTCATTCCACTAAATAATTTATTTCTTCCAATACAGTCGAATATTGACATCGAGGTTTTCATTAAATGTTTATTAATTATAGATGAATTTAAAGTTGTTCTTCGTTCAATTTCTTTCTATTTTGCAGAAATCGTTCTTGTTAAGTTTTATGTGTGTAGATGTGTAGTCTTTTAATGAATTTAACTATAGCAATTTTCTCAACCAAAAAAGGCAATTATCTTGATTTTTATATACCTTGATAATGACCTTGTTAATCTAATTGGATGCAACGTGAGATAGTGTTTCCTACGAAAATCAACAAATTGTATTCCCAATATGGTTAGCACATTGTCGCAGTTGTATAATAAAATAACAATTTACCTACTCTCTGTACAACAAATCGATTGGCAACAACTATTATTACCAATTAAGAATGGTTTTAAAACACATACTAAGGAGATATACGTTAATGTTTTTACATTAGTGATTGAACGACTTTCTAAGAGAATTAAAAAAAATGTTTATAGTGCGCCTTTCTGTTTGTCTGAGTTTGACGACCTGAATAATATCTAGTAATGGAAATATAACAATATTAACAATATATTAGACGATTAAGTAAACATTAACATATTAAAAGACAAAACTTAATGGGTTTCGTATAGCATGAGTGTCTAAAAAAATAAGACTGTAATAACAATGTTTTCATTTTAACTATAATTATTTAGAAAATCAATAATTTAACTATGCTTTCCTTTTATTTAGTACAACTTGTTATTGTCTTAATACCATAACATAATTAACATTATTATATATTATGAATTTGATATATTGAATCCCCACGAACTATAATAACTAGTCCAGGAAACGAAGCCTAAAATAGAACAACACTGCCCATATTATTTTTCGGAAAAGACCGATTTGCATAAAAATTTGGGATTTAGTTCAACTTACCCTCTACTTTAAAATCTATACTGTACCGATGGACGTTTTTTTTTTATTTTTTAAGGGTAAAAACTATCCCTAATTGCCAAAATCAAGAAAAAAGCTTAAAAAGAGTGAAATTTTAGATGAATTAAATAACGATTATCTGATACTTTGACTATAATTGTTAACTATTTTAACCTTTTAATAGACGAAATAGAAATAGATCTAATAAATCTAATAGTTGACAACAACATAAAAACTAATGAAATCGTAGGCTTCCACGGCCAGAGTCAGAATTATAGTTTATTCGTCTTCCGGGATTGGACATTCCGTAGTTTGGACATTCAGTACCGGTCATTCCATATTGTTCGAAAAAACCCATATTATTTCTAAGAGCCCCTTCTTTTATTTCAGGAAAATCCGCGAATCTCTAGAGATCCGAAAAAATCCACATAATATCAATCGAGAGGAAGGATACTACTTGTCTCCCATCTGGAATCTCAGTCTAGAGCCGCCGTCCGGTCCGGCTACCACGATGCAGCCACATGATTGGCCAGCGCTCGCTTCTTGACATTCGCGCCACGGAGTGTGCCGATACGTCCCGACACGACAGGTCACCGCGACTATAAATAGAGCGGTAGACGTGAATCCCTGTCCTGGCATTTGGTTTTCACCTCTGGCTGCTTTGAGTAGTTGAGTTACTGTGACCAAATGCCCATCTTGGTAGTTAGTATTCGCCTCTGGTTGCGTTGAGTAACTGAGTTACCGTTGCTAACTACCCATCTTTCTATCTTTTGTTTTTCTTTTTCTTTGTTTTCCTGAAGAAGCTACATACAATTGTAGCGAAACGTCGAGATGAACCCACTTTTGGGTCACTCACAAATGACACGGTCCAAACCCGGAAGACGAATAAACTATAACATAAAACTACTAATATATCTTTTTAATAACATAATATGAGGGTTCTGCATCGATAACTATAATGTTGTATTTAATGTGGGCTCCGAATATTTTTAACATTAACAAAGTTTAATATAAGTTATAAATTGTAAATCTCAGTGATATATTGAAATAAACTGTAAGTGTACAAACTTTTTACATAATATCCAGTTAAATTAGTATTAAAGTCAGCAAATTGCAATTATTTGTTATTGTTATCAATAAACAATTCCAGTTTTACCAGCAAAATAACCGCTTTTAGTAAAGACCAATATACCTGTTTTAGCAGGTGTACAGGGTCAGACTTACTTTTCACTTAACGTTTATCAAAAAAGATACTTTATAATCTAAAGTTGCACAACTGAGGGAGCAACTAGCGATTAGTAAAAATGAAATAGAAAAGTTAAGTGAACAGGTGTCAATTTTGCAGAATCAGTGTCAGCTTAGAGAAAAAGAGTAAGTCTTCAGGGGACCAGAATTTGTCAGAAAATAACCAAATACAGTGAAATTATAAACGCATACCGGGCTTAATGGGAATCCCTGTATCTTGCTGATGGTCTATATTATCGGAAGAGGGAACACTTCCGTGTTCCCTCAGTTAAAAGAACACTTGCCAGGGTTCAAAACAGATTTTACTAAATTGCTGCCAAGATGTAGAAGATTTATCAAAGAAATGTGATAAATATATTAGTAAAAGATGTCCCAGAATGAGAAGTTATGGTAAAATGGCACAATATCTTTCCGGAGAACCTTGTGAATGACTTGCAGTGGATATTTTCGGCTACTTCCAATGGCAGAGAGTACTTAATAGTTACAATGGATTATTTTTTTTAAATGGTCTGAAATTCTACCCAATCAAGAAGCGGTTTCAGTAGCAGAAGCGATCATAACACAAGTTGTATCAAGACATAGAGTTCCTTTAGAGTTACATTTTACTCAAGGACAAAATTTTTAATCAGAATTATAACAAGAATTAATGAAAATCTTGGTTAGTAAGAAAACTCGCCTCTCCAATCTCAATCAGACATAATGGTCAAAAGATGTAGCAGAACTATTTGTCAATATCTTTCAATGTTCGTATCTGACAATTAGAAAGATTGGGATGCGGGAAGAAGAACATTCTTCCCTGATTTAAATTAAAAATTTGAAAGAAAAATTGGAAAAAGTCTACTAATTCCCTCTTTAAAGTTTAAACCTTCAAAGTGATAAAGCCAAGGCCAGGCTTGAAATGCATGCTACTGGTACAACTTTCGAAAGAGGAGACCTAGTATGGTTATACAATTTCACACGCAAAAAAGAACTTTGTCCGAAACTTTAACGAAACTTGGAAGGTCCGTAGACTGTCCTGCATAAAATAAACTGTTTGCAACTAGAAGTAAACCGAAGGTAGTTTATATCAAGAGACTAACTCCATACATCTACCCTGTTGGCTTCAATCGATCTCTTATTCCCCTTAATCCCCTTATTCGAGGCAAATAACTATAAAGGTAATAACTATAAACCAAATCCTAGAAGTTAAGAGAAGAACACAATTGTCATGGGCTGCTTTTGATAAGTTGAGCTTCCTTTTAAAAGACAGAATAATCCCAATTCACTTAAAACGAAAAACCTATAACACTTGTATACTACCAGTTGCAACTTATGGATTAGAAACTATGGCAATAATACGAAAAATGGCAAAACAATTAAGAGTAACTTAACGGGCCATGGAGAAGGCCATGTTAAATGTAAGCCTCAGAGACAAAATTCCTAACACCAAAATACGTCAAAGAACTAAAGTAACCGACATCATGGGAAAAATAGCAACATTGAGATTGCAATCGGTAGCACATGTAGCAAGACAAGACACCAACAGATGGTCTCATAAAGTGACATTCTGGAGACCTCGAGAAACAAAAAGAAGCGCGGGAAGACCCAAAAAGAGATGAATAGACGATATAACAGCTGTAGCTGGAAAGCAGTGGATGAGAATTGCAAAAGATAGGGAAGCGTGGAAGCAATTGGAGGAGGCCTATGTCCAACAATGGATAAATGAAGGCTAAAGAAGAAGAAAATAACTATAAAGGAGGGAGCAGTGTTACAAAAAATTCGTAAGATTTATATCACAGAAAAAACCCCTAGATAAAAAAGAAGAAGAAGTTCGAGAAAATTCAAGATGACATCGAAAATTCATGAAATGTTTGAAGTTTGAAAAGTCAGAAAAAATATGTAAACAGATGTTTTTGACTGTTTATAACAGTTGTTATTTAGATTTTGAAGTTTAGAGTTATCAGTCAGTTAAAAGTATTGTCAACAAGTTGTGTTCAAGTAAGGTATTTTCAAGAAGTGTAACAATATTATAATCGTAAGTGATTTATATTAATTGTAATCTATACCCTCTATCAAATATACTTTTAATCTAGATGTTGTTTTATATACCGAGCTACTAAGATTTGTGGTCGAGCCTGCCATTTATCCATAACTTCTTTTGGAACGGATATCTCATCCCCTTCCAAGACATCCTGAACGCTAAGACATATTACTCCAGATTTGATTCCTGCAGCTTTCGTAAATGCAGCAAATGCCGTAGATTCCATTTCAATATTGACTATGTTTTTCCTTTGAAGAGATTTTAGATAATTAATTTGGTCTTCTACTGTATAATCACAAAATGCTCCATCTGCTCTCGCTTGGCCTTCATAAAAGTCATTCGTGCACATGGTTGTTCCCGAAATTACCTCAAATTCGTCATCAGGTAGAGACAGAGACTTCAATTCCTGCCATAACTGTTTATCTAATTCGGTTGATCTCGTAAGCAACTTTCCTAGAACTGGAATGGAATATTCTTTCTGTAACATTCCGTCACAAGCGTCTTCGGAGATTATAACAGTTCCTGGCTTAGAGCCTATACTACCACACGTACCTAATCTAAAGAAAACTGGATTCTTACATTTGGCATAATACATTAATTTGATTAGTTCATTTAGAAGGATTCCTATCGTCGGACATCCCATACCATGATTTACTGAAATAACTGGCCCTACTTTATACATAGAATATCGATCACCCTTTTCGCTGATATCTAGTAACTTAGTGCCGAACGGTAATTTATGACCAATTTCTTCCATTATATATTTGGCAAACATGTACATTTTCTTTGGGGATCCTCCCATACAGACAAATTTAGTATCTCCAAAAGCTTCAACTAAGTTCATCGTTTCAGTATCCAGTGCAATGTGATATAAATAGTCATTTTCCAAACCGGCTAAATGAGGATTTTTTACTGCATTTTCATTGGAATATTTATCTGAACATAAACATTTATGAGTCATTTTAATTCTATTAAATTGTTAGGTTGATACTACTTTAAATTTTGACAATTTTTCCTTGACAGAGAAAAGTTTAATATACTTTGACAGTAAAAGACGCTAAAGTAGCTTTTTCTTCTTCTTTTTATGTAAAAATGACTCTCTGTTTTTCAATGTTCCTTAAGTAAGTTGTCGTTTTACCGTTTTCGTGGTCTTAATACTGATCGTCTTTCCATTGGGAAACCGTCTCTTGTCGTCTTTACTATTTCTTCTCATTCTTCTTCTTCTTCTATTCTTTCCTCATTCTCACGCAGGATTTCCACATTAGTAACTCTGTCAACTCAGGATATACATCAGATGCGCCTATAACACCACATTTCGAAAGCTTCGAGCCGATTCATAGATGCAACAGTCAGTATCCACGCTTGAATTTCGTAGAACAGAACTGTGAATAGGTAGCAGTTTAATAGACGGCATTTTGTTTTTAATGATATGTCTCGACTGTTGAAAATGGTTCTCATTCTAACGAATGCTGCTTTTGCTTTTATTATTCGCTGCAGAAACAACATACAAGCAAATACACAAGAATATCAGAATAAAGATCCAACAAGCCAAAGAAACCTGGCTAAGTGAAAGATACCAAGAAATTGAAGAGTTGTAACAAAGACGTGATACTTTCAATCTACATAAAAAAGTAAAAGAAGCCGTTGGAATATTTAAGATGTTTCAAGACCGAGAGAGGACAAACATTTACATGCAGGAGGCATCGACTGGACCCTATATCACAAAGCAAGAAATTATCAAAGCGGCAAATCAGTTAAAGAACGGAACAGCTGTTGGGGAAGATAATATCAAAATTGAAATAATAAAGATAGTACTAGACGAACACATCGAAGTAATGGAAGATATATTTAACAAAATATACGAAACAGGCATAATACCAAATGATTGGCTGACATCGGTGTTTATACCATTAACAAAGAAGAGAAACTCCAAGAAATGTAAAGACCATAGGATTATTAGCCTGATGAATCATATGTTGAAGCTTTTCTTACGAGTAATACACAATAGAGTATACAATAAACTAGACGAACACACTGGTCAAACTCAGTTTGGTTTTAAGAATGGGTTCGGAACAAGAGAAGCACTTTTTTCAATACGTGTGCTAGTTGAAAGATGTAGAGATGTCGATTCTGATGTATACTTGTGTTTTATAGACTTTCAGAAGGCGTTTGACCTGGTGAAACATGATAAACTAATAGATATTTTAAGGTCATGTAATATCGACGATAAAGACATAAGGATCATTTCAAACCTCTACCAAGAACAAAAGGCTAAAATCAGAATAAAAAGCGAAACATCTGTAAAAATCAATATCGAGAAGGGAGTAAGACAGGGATGTGTCCTATCACCTTTGCTGTTCAATGTTTACTCTGAGAAGATATTTCAGAAAGCTTTGGAAGGCACGTCGGATGGTATAATTATAAACGGGCAATATATAAATAACCTGCGATATGATGATGACACTTAAGCAACGCTTAATGGACCGAGTAACGACAGCCTGTAGATAATTTGGAATGAAATTGAATACAAAGAAGACAAAAACGATGGTCATCAGCAAGCACCAAAACAGAAGGGTGAAGGTCAATGTCGACGGAACAGATCTGGAAAGAGTAACAAGAACAACGTACCTTGGAAGTAATCTTGATGAAACTTGGGACTCACTAGAGATAAGAATACGCCTGGAAAAGGCACGTACAATGTTTTACAAAATGCAAAAAGTTCTATGCAACCGCCAGCTGGGCATCTCCTTGAGAACTAGAATACTTAAGTGCTATGTTTTCTCCACCTTGCTCTATGGCGTTGAAGCCTGGACAATGACAGAAGCAACACAAAAAAGAATCCAAACATTCGAACTCTGGTGTTACCGTAAAGTGCTCAGAATATCCTACATGAGCCATACGACAAATGCGGAAGTCTTGCGGAGAATGAATAAGGAAAGAGAGCGTATGCTTATAATAAAAGAACGGAAAACACAATATTTTGGTCACGTCATAAGAAATCAAAAGTATGAACTACTCCAACCTATAATCGAAGGCAAAGTCAATAGCAAAAGAGGACCAGGAAGTAGACGCAACTCCTGGCTTAAAAACCTACGGCAATGGACGAACATGACCTCCATAGAACTATTCAGGGCTGCTACAAATAAGATTAAATGGGCAAATGTAATGGCCAACGTCCTTAAGGATAAGGCACCGTAAGAAGAAGATTCGCTGTTTAATTTCTGTTGAGTGATCCCATTGGATATTTAAATTGGTGCCTAGATATGTATATTGCTCGACTCTTTCGATATTCTGTTGATTGAGGTTGTTGCAGAAAATGAATAGCTGATAGACAATCAAAAAATAAAGCCAGAATTTAGCCAAGAAAATCCTAACAGTATAAGCCTGACGATGATTTCAGGAAAAGCATACATACGGCTGATATTGTAAATGAAGAAGAAGAGTGGTGGTTTGAAAATGGAGCAACAAGACATGTGACCAATTTACTAGAATATTTTGTTAGTTATGAAGAGTTTGAATTCTCTACTAATATTAAAGTAACTGGCAAAGAAGTTCTTAAAGCACTAGGAAAAGGAATTATTAAAGTAAAATCATTCACTCCTAATCATAAAGATTGAATCATTAAACTTAGTGATGTCTGGTACCTTTCTTAAATTTCTAAAATCTGTTTTCAGTATAAACAACCTTAAACAAAAATTCAAACAGTTTTTGTACATCTGCTGTTACACACTGTCAAATAGAAGTTAAAAAAAAATTATTATTACTCAAACAAGAGAAGTAAAAGGTGCTTTATTCAAATGTGCCATTGAAGCAATAATTCTACAACAACAAAGATTGAGTGGGATCAACATTACAGAAGACAATGCTAGTTTCTTGCTGCCGCTGTATTATAAGCTATGAGGACATCAAAAGATGAAACATATACAAGAAAAACTTGACACCGAAGACAATTTTCAGATAGAATTGTAATATCTATTTTCAACAAATGGATTGACTCTAGGGTTACTTTCTAAAAATGATTTAACCGAGTTCTTATTTTCATCCACACAAACAGGAAATCTTCCATTTTGACAACAAAAAATCCAAAAAATAGTGTTCCTTTTCATTTTCAAAAGAAATGGATCTGGTAGATGCGTTATCTTGTGAAATTTTTTACTTTTACGGTAACTTATGACGCTCTGGGACAGTTTTAGAGGCTTCTCACTCACTCCTACCATTGTGAATTAACTCCGCTTTTTGGACATCATTTTCGAAATACATTTATTTTATAAGTGTTTCAAGTTTTAAATCATTTTGGCATAGTTGCTAAAAAATATAATTAGTAATTGGTCATACACAAAGATTTTCATTTCATCACTAGATCTCACAAAAAACTATATGCAATTTCGGACAGGACATACACTATATTCTCACAATAACATAAAGTATAAAGTAGAAAGAGAATTGCAGTATATAGTACTTACCGGCTAACACGAGCTTCTCTCAAAATTTCGGTTGTAAACTCACGGCATTGAATAGTGTCTAAACCAGACTTCGAATACTGACTACAACATGGTGGTTACCTTGAAACTAGATGTGTCATATTTTTGGAGACCAAAATTTTAATCAAAACATACTAGTAGGCTAATAACGCGCTCATGGCCAACAATTGGTAGGTTTATCCTGTTCAGAAGCACGTCGTTACGTACCAAGAAATTTGTATCATCAACCAGAGAAGTATAACTATGAAATAAATATCTCATTGATATATTATTTTCAATTGTATTACTACTACTACTACTACTATCGGTTTACAGCGTTCTCCGACGCCATTCGACTCCTAACCGCCATTCTTCTCTATTCAACCATAGGTCTGGAGGGATTTCTCTTTCCTCTAGTTCTTTTTCAATTCCCTCTCTCCAGCTTCTTCTGGGCCTTTCGCTTTTCCTTCTCCTTTATGGTGTCTAAGTCAAAATCTGTTTCGAAATCCTGTCATCTGGCATTCTCTGTACATGACCGTATCATATTAACTGTTTTGTTTTTATGTCATCAACTATTGTATGCTGAGTTGGGGGTTCTAGAAATAGAACTCAGCTCTACCAACAAATCCTACTCTCACGTCCTCGAAGACACAACAGTGTCGCGTATCCACTGGATGCTTTGCGTACAATGGGTGTACGTGATGTAACCGACGAGAGATGGGTAAAAGGCGAGTTCCTGGCGCCTCAAAACTGGGACACATCGGCTAAGGGAAGAAACCCCTACAGAAAATCAAACGGAGCAATGGGCCTGCAACCCATTATCTGTATTCTTATACCGCAAAAAATCCTAATCAGCCTCGGAACAAGACGGAAAACTTAAGACGACAACAACAACGAAACAGGACAATGATTTTTGGTACGTGGAATGTGAGGGGTGTTAGAAGTAAGATGGAAGAAATAATACGAGAAATTGACAAAGAGAAAATAGATCTGATAGTACTAACAGAAACAAAGAAAAAAGGACAGGGTACCCAAAATATAGATAAGTATATACACATATATGGTGGAGTAAAAAAGGAAGAACATGCGAAAGGAGGAGTGTCAATACTAGTCAAAAAGAAATATAAGAAAAACATCACTAGCTGGGAAATAATCAATGAACGAATAATAAAGATAAACATAAACTTAAAATCACATCGAATCTCAGTTATTGGTACGTATGGACCCAACGAAGATGCTAGAATAGAGGAAAAAGAAAAGTACTATGAGTCTTTAGATGAAACAATATCACAAATAGGCATCACACGAGAAATTGTGATTTTGGGAGACCTTAACGCCAGAACGGGCAGCAAACAAAACAATAAAGTTACAGGACCTTTCGGTGAAAACGTCTTAAATGATAATGGTAACAGACTGATTGAAGTATGCCAACGAAATTCACTTAGAATCACTAATGGATACTACAAACATAAAGATATCCACACCTATACATGGACACAATACACCAGAAACCTTAGATCAGTAATTGACTATATGATCATTAAACAAAAAACAC